TTCTCTTTGAAATAATAAAAAATGTATATCTTGTAGCAAACACTCCCTCCACATAGAAAACGAGCCACCTGGGGAAAAGACTTTAAGGCAGCCTTTCTCAACCTTAGGGCCTTTAAGATGTGTGGACTTCAACTCCCAGAATTCCCCAGCCAGTGGCTGGGGAATTCTGGGAGTTGAAGTCCACACATCTTAACATTGCCAAGGTTGAGAAACACTGCTTTAAGGTAATCCTCCTGATGGGATAAGTTTCTAAAAATGGGCATTTCTTATTCACTGGCTTATAAAAAAGGCTTGGTGAGAATTATACCTTGCTGAAATTTGAAGAGATTTCAGGTAAAGGTGATACATTTGACTTCTGCATTACAAATCCAGCTTTTAAAATATGTTTGAACTAAAGCTCATTCGTATGATAGAAAATTCTAGGTCGGTGAAATAGTAGCAGTTGCTTTCAGCCGAAGATGCCGCTCTTAGTAAGCATTAAAAAAAAGTCGTGCATCTATGTTTGCAGTGACTAATTTCTGTTTCAATTTCCTGTTCTGCATAGGAGTCTATATACTGGCCAACTTTCTGCCTTGAGTTAGCAGAAGACGTCATTAGACACAAAGCCTATTTCTTTTTTAATAGGCAGCACTGTTACTGGAACCGGTCGCAAAATTATTTGGGGCACATCTGGACGTTTTGGAGGACATAGTGGCAGAGGCTGTAAGCCGACTGGCAGATTCTGATCCCTTGTAAATCATTGTCAAAGAAAGCACCGTCAAGTAAAAAGATCAGGTCCACAATAGGCTGCGACCCCTAGCCAACACTGGGGGATCTTGACAATCAAAGCAGGGTTAGCACTGGATGGGAGACCACCAGGAAACCTGGGGCTGCTGACGGGCCTTCCATTTTGGTGCCTTGAAAACTGCACGAACGTCTTTTGGACTCAAGGAAATCTTTATCTTTTTAGCCCAAGTCATCTGCTAAATTTCTAAGGTTTAAAGCCTTTCTTCAGCTGAAATGATGGGGGACTGGCTCGGATACCCGTGCATGCACGGTATAACATGTGCACAGGGCGCGCCCTGAAGGCCACACAGTGTAGATGAGCCGCTTCTGAGTGACACGGAAACGATGCCCAGTGGAATCCCGTGGCGTGGGTGGGATGTAGACCTGCAGCAAAAGAAGAGCATCTTTTCTGTTTTTAAATTAACGCCCTGCCGCCTCAGCTTTTTAAATCAGCGCGGTGGGCGGCCGTTGCCGAGAAGCGGAGGGGTGGAGAGGAAGTATCCGTCTGCGCTCCGGACTGTCGGGGAGGACGTGAACTCATTGCAAAAAACCAAGAAAAACATCTGCATCGAACGGGAGGAGATTGCATGCTGGAAATCCTTCTGATGTTGGTACTTTACTGATAAGGGAGTGTGAATAGCTTTTCCCTGCAGGTTTAATTCAATATTCAGTATATCTTACTAATTAGAGCAGCGCTTTCAACCTTGACAACTTTAAGATGCGTGGACTTCAACTCCCAGAATTCCCCAGCCAGCTGTG